TAGAGTGCAGTGAAGGTGTAGCCGATCCGACCTCTACACAGAAACGGTTCTAGGCGAAAGAACATGGTTTCAAGCTGAGGGTTTCAATCTGAGCCTCAGTAGGGGAGGAGCGGTGGGGTGGGGGAATGATTACCTCGTGCAAAAACTAGGATGGGGTATCCTTACTATATATAAAGCGCTCTGTCTATCTGTTTGTTTGTTTGTTTGTACGGAAATTCGATATAACATGAAGAAACACCTGGAGAAGTCGGGTCCAGAGCACATGTGAGCATGGCGGAGCTCCGCCCCCAAGGGGCGGGGCGTGTGTTGAAACGAATACCACTTTTCGAAAATGGGTGTTACTTCGTTTTGGAACGTTTTAGAATGCGGAAAAAAGTGATAGAGGTAACAGGACAAATGTGGTTAGATCCCCAAAGTGGGCGGGGTTAGCTCCAAAGTGGGCGGGGCTTAGATCGAAATTTCATAACTCTGGTCAGAAACATTCTAGAACGCGGGGGAAAACTGGTAAGAGGTAATGGAACAGATGTGGCCAAATTCTCGAAGTGGGCGGGTTGGCATTGAAGTGGGCGGGGCTCAGATCAAAATTTCATAACTCTGTTCAGAACATTCTAGAGCGCGGGGGAAAACTGGTAAGAGGTAATGGAACAAATGCCCGAAGTGGGTGGAGCTGGCAGAGGAAAGCGGGCTAGGACAAAAATGCATCCCTTCGAAAACTTCCTAAAATGCGGGATAAATGGTTAGGAGCAGTCAAAAAAGGAAGGGTTTGCATTAAGGTGGACGGAGCAATGATCAACCTTTAATAACTATGCTCAAGTATATCGAGCGTGATGCTGTAGGCAGTTCAGCGTTCGAATCTAGAGAAAACTCTTATTCTGATTATCCAAAATTCTGCTGAATGACTCCATCGTGGATAAGTAGCCGTCGACATATACTGCACGCGTTACCGTGCATAGCCAAACTGGTGAGTTGGATATTCAATTGACTCATCCTTCTCGGTACCCCTTCCCTCCTAAAGCTCAGATCAAAACTGCATGTTCTCGGTACCCCTTCTCGGCTAAGAAACTTTAACCCTTTGACGACAATCCGGATTTCGACGTGACGCGCCTATAGGATCACGCTCCCCTCCTTTCGCGCGCGACTGACACCCACTGGTGGGAGGCACTGTCCCAGCAGAACATTCTTTCACTAGCTCACTGATTTCAGCGATTGGGAAGGAACAAGAAAGTATCGTGGCTTCCCAAATTGGGTGCCAATGTCCCATGTGCCAGATATTGTGGCACCCACCGGTGGGCGCCATTGTCGTCAAAGGGTTAATGGGGACAATTGTGGGTTATCCTCCTTGTGTTGAAATCATGTTGAAAACAAGCGGAGGTTTCCCAACTACATTATCACCATTTTTGTAAAGACATACATATCATGATGCCGGTGCAGATCGTGTCAGTCACAGTATTGAAGTACCCACTTCACTCTACATCACTCATCTCACTCCGCAGTACTCACTCTGCTTCACCCACCAAGTTACTTCCTTATATATAAGAAGGAAATGTAGAATAGAGCAAGGTTTCCCATATCACTACTTTTATCGTAATCGTATGTTTTGCGGTCGGACAGACCGACACACCGACCAACCGATTCTGCTTTTTAAATGAGAGAGATATTCCTCGCCAACCTGCACTGCTCTACTTACTTACCACCTCTACACTATTCCACTGTTGGCTATTTCTACCTGAACTCCTAGCGCACGCTACTGTGATTTAGGGGCAAATACCGTAATATTCTAAGATCGAACTTCCTCTTCACAGCGCACCATTGCGCGCTATCAGATGTGACGAGCGCTGCACGCCTTCCTCGTAGAAAAACTCACAACCCTGTTCCCCCATCGAGCCGCTTGTACTACTCTCTGTTGCCACCCATGAATTGCACCAAAA